GATGATCACTGTTTGGTTTGGTCTCTTTCTTCGACGCATACATAATAGCCTCGAGTATTGCTCACATCTTTGGGTAGTGCAGTCCCGACTACATTATCTATACGTATGTTCGATGTTGTTGAGAGGAGGGCTGATCAATGACTCTTCTCTAACGGGCGTTTTTTAGTATTACTTAGTCAGGTCAGTTATATTCTAAAACGTGAAAAAGGTTATATGAAAAATGAGATGTAGGGTTGCCCTATAACTCATTAAAATAAACCAGATACGCAACGCCATGACTTCAAAAACAGTATTTTGAGCGTAATTAAATCACAATGACGTTCTTCATTCTCCGACATCTGAAAAACTAAAGCACATCGGACGAAATACTGTTGAGGCATCAATTGAGAGGTTATTACCTATACACAAGACTTTTCTAGATAAAATCCGTGTTCCGGTCCAGCAGACCTTTCCCTGGACTAAAAGTAAATGTTTTTTATTATTTTAATTAAGCACCAGATGTGCAGACTTTTTTCCAATATTACGTCTGGCGAAGCTCCCCCAGATAGTCATGTTTTTTTTGCATAATGCGATGAGGCAGATTAGGTTCAATTTTGCTTATTCTGTGACGTAAATTTTTTTCGAATCAGCGATATTCTTCGGAATGTAAAAGTAAAATTTATCATCAGGAGCTTAAAGATGGATAGTTGACTGGAGCTGACGAAATGCCAGCTGAGCTGTTGAAAAAAGCCGGTATACCTCTGATATCTGTAAGAACATGTGGTTTGTGGTTATTTTTATTGGTCATTGCTTAAACTCAGACATTTAACAACAAAATAACTTTCAGGTTTCCTTTCGACTGGAGATGATTTGGTACCTGGAAACGCTGGATTGAAAGATCAGAATTTGGCCTTAAAGTGGGCCAATCAGTACATCCATCATTTTGGTGGTGATCCAACCAAAATTACAATTTTGGTCAGAGTGCTGGCTCTGCTTCTTGTGCTTATCATGATTATGAGTCCGTTATCTAAAGGTACAACGATATGGGATAAGTTAAGTTTTGTACCAGTGAAGTTATAGGGCATATTGAGAAAACGACCGGGTTGTGAAACCGACCATTCTACATAGATAGTACTGACATAAAGAAGAAAAAACAATATTCTTGAAATTTCTGTTATTTGTTGTTCTTATAACATACGAGGGTGGTCCCAGAAGTACCCGGCCTGACCTAGAGATGGCGATAGTTGTTTGAAAATATCATTGTATTAGAAAGTATGCAACCTATAAAGCATATGTGTCAAGTTTGAAGACGCCACGTTGTTTAGTATTATTTGGCAGCCATTAATACTGAACGTTTTCAGTGAATTTGTAAAAATGGAGAAAATTGGTAATCGTTATGTGGTACAATACTTTTATTTCAAAGGCCTCAGCCCAACCAATAAAAAGCTGAACTGGATTTTACTCTGGGCGAGTCTGCTCCTTCGTTTACAACAGTAAAATATTGGGTAGCAGAGTTCAAACGAGGCCGTATGAGCTGCCAAGACGAGCATCGCAGTGGTCGACCAAATGAGGTGACGACTCCAGAAATGGTGAAGAAAATTCACAAAGCGGTACTGGATGATCGTCGACTGAAAGTGAGCGAGCTAGCAGACATAGTAGGCATTTCAAAAAGTGCGGTTCATCGCATATTATCTGAAAATTTGGACATGAGAAAGCTGTGTGCAAGATGGGTGCCGCGATTGCTCACAATCCGTGAAGATGTGTCAATTGAGTGTTTAGCGAAGTTTCACAGCAACAAAGAAGAGTTTTTGCGTCGTTTCATAACCATGGATGAAACATTGGTCCATCACTTCACACCCGAGACAAAAGAACAATCAAAACAATGGACTCAAAAGGGACAACCGGCTCCAAGAAGGCGAAGACCGTTTCATCTGCAGGCAAGGTTATGGCGTCGGTTTTTTGGGATGCGCGTGGGATAATTTTCATTGACTATTATTAACTTATTACAACGTTTGAGCGATAAATCACGATGAAGAAGTGATGTCGGCAGTTAATGGCTATTTTGATGAGCCTGATATCTTATTATAAAAAGGGTATCGAACTTATTGAACATCGCTGGGAAAAGTGTATAGAGCTCAAAGGAGATTATGTTGAAAAATAAATACATTTTTTTATAAAAATTTTGTGTTTTCTTCGTTGAGACGGATACTTCTGGGACCACCCTGATTGCTGAAACATTCCTCTATTATCGCTTTTTTATTAACATTTTAGGTTTGTTCAGAAGCGCAATCTTGCTCAGTGGGACATCGCTAAGTCCATGGGCGTACCAAAGGAACTACCAGTTATATTCGAGGGAATTGATCAGAAATATAGATCCTGCAAACTACCATAAATATAATACTTCTCAAACTATTTACGAGTTTCTCAAAAACATACCAACAGAGATAATTAATGATGCTTGCTTGGCGATAGTAACAACGGTAGGCTAAAGAGACTTACAAATAAGATTAGAAAAAGATAGTATAATCCAACGAAATTTTAACATCATAATAACTAATTGAGGCCTCACACGGTAGAGCCCATAGAGAGCAATTTACGCATTTATGTAATCATTATTGAATTTATCAAATTATGAAGCTTGGAAATATTCATCAATTTTTGTTTTGTTTAAGGTTGTTATAACGCGAGATCAGAGCTTTGTCCCTCAGTCTTCTCAAAAGTAAAAGTTTGTTGTAGGATGTACCATTCTCTTCAGCCCATTGTAAACCTAGCTCAAAAGCGTTAATTGCGTCTTGTGCTGTGACTTGTGGAGCAGTTGCAATCACGTCGTCGTTACTTTCCTGATTGTTTGTTGTATAATTAGAAACCTCTTTTATAATTTCTTCGTCAGACATTTCATGAAAAACATTTTCCTCTTTATCCATTCCACGGCACCAGATTTCCAAATCTTCCGGACTTATCTGTGTTTCAGTAGCGACTTGTTCTATAACTTCCGAAGTTACACTGATTTGTGGAACGTTGCTAGGAGTGGTGACTATATCTGGCCAAAACTTTTTCCAAGACGATTTAATAGTTGATGACGGTAACGCATTCCACGACTGACAAAGAGCAAAAACCAAGTCTTAATATTAGATTCTTTTAATGTTTTTTCTATTGGTTGGTCTTTTGATACGGCTCTCAGAAGTAGGTTTTTCTTATAGTCTTGCTTGACAAACTGAGTGATATTCTGGTCCATTGGTTGAATCAGTGCAGTGCAATTTGGCGGAAGAAACATCGCAGTGATGCATTTATCCTCAGATGTTAGTTCTTCTTCAGACGGATGACCGGGAGCGTTATTAAGAAGCAACAACGCTTTTTGAGGAAAATTATGATATTTTAACCATTTTCTAACTTCAGGTACGAAGCATTCATCAAACCACTTTTTGGAAAGGTCTTTTGTCGTCCATGCACTTTTTTGTCCGTAATAGTGTACAGGTAAATCAATGTTTTTGAATGCCCGTGGTTTATTAGATTTCCCAATGACCATCATCTTAAGCGCGTGTGTGCCCGCAGCTTTAGCACATGGTAGTATGGTTACACGCTCTTTACGTACTTTTCGTCCAGGTACGGATTTTTCGTTACAAAAAACGAAAGTTTTGTTATGCATCACACGCCAAAAAAGCTCTGATTCGTCTGCATTGTACACCTGTGACGGGTCAAGACTTAAATCGTTCATCTTTTGCAAAAATCTTAATTTAAAGGGCTCTATGCAGGTGGCATCGTTTGAAAGTTTCTCTTCTGTAATAGTCATTAAACGTATGCCATGACGACTTTTAAAACGTTCTAGCCATCATTTGCTGGCCACAAAATCATTTTTTTGTTATTTTCTTATAAAAAAACTTAGCTTTCATGGCCAACATGGGTCCTGAAATTGGTGCATGCCTTCTTTCCTGGAGAAACCACATGTACAAAACTTCTTCCACTTCTGGATGTTCAGCTGTCTCTTGCCTGGCCCACAGTCAGTAGTTGACACGAATTTCTTGATCTTCCCGTGGTTCTTTTAATGTCATAAATTGTAGATCGGCCTACTCCGTATTCACTTGCTAAACTACTGAAAGTTTCATTGCGATTTAAGCGGTCTAAAATATCACATTTTTCTTTAATTGTCAATGTTTTGTACTTTCGCTTCTGAGTTTGTGATGACATTACTAGGTACACTATACTTAATACACAATGAATAAATAGTAAACAATGAACGCACGCTAGGCCGTACCGCTATCACATGTAGTCAAATTCAAACTAAGTAAAACAATGCTTACGCGTCGAGCACGATAGCGGTGGCGCGTACAAGTTGTAACCTGTTCAAACCTGCGCGATCCTCATTAGCGAAGATTGTCAAATATGTATGTATGTAACATTCAAAGACATGTCGGATGACAAGGGCGCCGGATTAGACAGGGGCCGGATTATCGGGGGTCCACTGTAATGAAAAGGTAGAGATAATGTTTCTTGGAACTGTTCAGGTGGAGGGTTCAGTCCAATCTCACTCAATCTTCTTAGGAGAAATGAGGGCTTCTTGGTAAATATCAGGCGATTTTTAGATCACTTCATTGAGTTTTACTTTTTTGTCATTGAAACAACGCTCATTTTATCGAAATCAAGCAAGGATAATTTATTCAGAATGGATATATTATCTTTCAGCCGTTATTACAGGGTGCTATAAATTAGCAATATTGCGCTGTAGCTAGGACGTCCCTGTCGAACTGAATGTGATAATTGCTTTTATTTTTTATTTATCATATGGTACGTTATCCGCCTACTATGATGTAAAAATTTTGTTAGTAGAGTATACGATGTGGTTTAAAATTTGGGGGTGGTGTGAAACGAAGCGCCAGATAATATCGTCTTAGAATAAACTGCAAGAATTGCAACATGACCTGACCCGGTTCAGGTGTATAAAGTACAACTTAGTCACCATACGCATATGCTTATTATCTTCCAGAATCCTAAAAGCTATCTACAGTTGTACCAAGGATTTTTCTTTGCGCCGGTATACGAGCACGAGCACGATGGTGCTTTTTTGACCAAACAGGCATACGAAGCTATGGAAGAGGGAGATTTCAATAAAGTACCAGTATTACTCGGTGCTACTAGCGAGGAAGACTATTTCCTCATGGAAGGTAAGTCAGGTAGTATACAGGAAACCAAACAAGCTACTTTGTCCCACCGACCCAAGAGATCCAACCATTGATAGTTGTTTCGTGCTGTTTGGCAACTCATCAGCATGGTATAGGCTTTGTCTCTGCGACAGCGAGAAAAATGATAGCCACTATTCTCTATCGAAGACAGTATCTTTGGTCGGTAGCATGATGCTTAATATTGTTCAATAGTTATTAGATCATGTATTATGCCGCCAGAATCGTCAGCCTCTAGCGGTTATAATGGTGACTGTGCCATCAAACAATATATATATATATACTCTCGCAGTGGTCGATTCTGGTAACAGATGGCGCTCTGCGCTGAATTATTTCGATAGTATACAGGGTTCTCCAACGATCTCCAAAAAAACTATAAATTTCGAAAACAAGTTGTTTCTATGGATGTTATATGACATGTACAGCTGTGTATGATCAAGGAAATCCCATAGATATAATATCTTGTTTACGAAAGAGCTTTTGAAAAAGTTCCGCATAAACATTTGATGTACAAAAATTGAGCATTTTGATGCACGAGGTAAGCTTTAAGATTGGATAGAGGCATTTCTTACTGACAAGTAAGTCAAATTATTCCAAGAAAAAACAAACGAACTGTCAACTAAAATTCAGATAAATAAGATGTATTGTCATTGTACTAAATAAGATCACCTTTGTGATTGAAACGTTTACAGCGAAGAAGATTCTGTCAATACATGTTGTTTTGTTGGAAAGGCAACTATACACATAAACCACAGGTTAAGTGTTACTCTAATAGATATATGTTACATTAATGCATGACACAGAGTGCTACAAAATTCAGTAAGGGTAGTACCGTCAGTCAGTCCCACATTTGTAGGACAGCTTTATGGCCTCCTCAATTTTCATAGCTTTCTACTGTTCCGTGTCAGCACTCTATTTTGAGGTTATGTCACAAATATCTATTGCAGCAAATTGTTCATGTTTTTGATTTGTTATATCAGCCTCAAATTTCCTACAGTTCAAAAAGAGAACAATAGTCTCACAATAGGAGAGCACTGACGCTGACACGGACAGTAGAAACCTAGAAATGCCCCAGCCTTTCTGAAGGAGAGAAGAGACTATGGAAATCAAGGAGACCATAAAGGCGTCCTACAATTGTAGGAACGACTGACGATACGGCCTTCAATAACTGCTTCTAACGTTTGTAGGTGTTCAATTATATATGACAGAAAGGATGAACCAACCATTATCCAGTTCTTCGACTTTCCACAATAAACAGCACTGCATTAGCCTGCTAAGATTACGGTAGTTATTTATGGATAGGTGGCAGCGTTGCGTGTGAAGTGCAGAGTTAACCTACTTTGCCATTTTTCTATTAGCAAACTTCGCATATGCAGCTTTGTACTGCACTCTTATGATTTTGGCGACAAATACCATTATTTTAGAAACAACATTCTCGTTACAGATAAAGAAGGTCTCGGTTACATATCTGAAATATTCACACAAAGTCGTGATTCAATACCAGATGATATGCATGTCACTGAGGAGAATAAGGATACCATCAAAGCTGAATTGATGAACTTTTATACTTCCGGAGGAAACTATGTGGACAACCCTAGGAAACTTGTCACGGTACGTATAATCAGATGTGACTCAATATTTAATCCACTCTGAGCACAATGCAAAAATTGACCAAAAAGTGCTGCAAACTGTTAAGCGTTGTTCTCACGGCAACCCGACTTCAACACAATTACGCATCTGCCACACAACCAGCAGTCTGGCCGAAAATAATTGCATAACGTACTTAACAAATATTTGTAAAATCTAGCCAGTTGAAACTTTTGAACAATGAAAAGGAAAAGTGTAATACGAAGAATAGTCGGATATATTCTAGAGGATGATTCATTGTTAAAACATATGAAAAAACTTCCTATAAACATGTTTTCAAGATACGGGAAAAATATTTGCTCCATTCTGTCAAAATTTGCCAATATTATTTGTTGTAATACAAGACACATTTTTCAATATTGGTTTTCCGAGGCAGTTGTGATTTTTTTAGCAAAAATTAATAAACCAATTTTGTCCAGTAACATGCAATAAACCGGTTTTTATTTTTTTCTCGGAAAATGCTTAATCAAACAACCAATATTAAAATTACAAAAAGGCAGTGGCGTACATTTTTTTGCCAATAATATTCGCCAAGTGCCACGCCTTCTTTTGGTTAATTAATAAAACACAATGACGGTTGGTCCAAGCAAAACAGTTGTCTGGTGGCGTGCAAATTCAGGCCCTAGCTCAATAAAGCGGAGAGTAGGGGAGTTAAGAGCGCCAGTGACTTAGGACGGATTAAGCCACAACTCCCCTAGATGTTAGTTGGAACACACAAAAGGAGAGTCTAACAGAGATGACGAAATAAATCAAGATATCAAATGAATCACAATATATTGATTAATAAAAAAAAGCACATGTGCACCACTACTGAAGTGCGAGTAATAAAAAAAATAAAGGATGTTATAAATCTTAAATACAACCTGACAAAATTATTTTTCGAGATAACCCCGCAAAACGTCTACCGTAGTATACGCCCGAAGTATTTACAGATATTTTGCGCCTAAATATTCAACTTATCTGTAGGTCTTCTTTGTCAGGCGCGGCCGAGACGTCCTCAACTCTGGTCAAAATGTGGCCAGTAGTGGGCACGTCACTGGGCAGGGGCTGCTTGCCTCGTTGCCAAACATTATGGTAGTAAAAAAAACCCTAGAGAGAGGAAGACTGCTTAAAAATATACTCTACTCTCTGTCTGAGATAAAACTACTCATTGAAAACAATCGCACTTGAAGTAAAACTATGTACATTTTTTTTGGACAAGAAAAGTAAAGTAAAGGCAAAAAAGATAAAAATGTACTGAACTAATATACCCTTGTTCTATGGTTATGGCAGCTCAAAAATCAAAATCATGATCAATGCAATAGAAGGTGCTACGTAGGCACTGCCCCCATATTTGAATACGTAGAATGTCCAATAAAATCAAGAAGTCTCTAAGAATTTCAATAAGCAATAATAAATGTATAAAGATCTATGAAATTATAAATTAGAATGACATTTTATCTGTTCACATCAGGTTTTTTTCCAAGGGGATGGCTTCCACCAATTGGCAAAACTGCAACAAGATGCAACCAACTGGAGGAGAAAGGATGATGATTATCTTCTGTTTCTATTGACTAAAAGAAAGCAGATATTGAATGAACGTCATCAGGACACGCACTTAGGCACGTGGTCCGAAGGTATATAAAAAGAACTTACCACTGAGGGTCAAAATCCCATAAAAGAATGGAAGACGTAGCACCCAAACCAAAATGACTAAACTTAAGTTACACAAAAAAAAGGGTCCTAGTCCATGAATTGGCGCTTGGGGCCTAATATCCCAGAGTCTGGAAAATGACGAAACGACCCCTGCACCACGACCTCAACGGAAACAGCACATGTAACGTCCTAGAAAAAGGTATCTTGAGTGGCCTTGAAGAAGATCTTGTATGTTTTATAGGAAACCAACTAACGGAGAAAAACTACAGTTTTTGCTGATCGTCAACACCATACTGAATCGCTGAGAAAGAAAGATATAATAGTGAAATATACAATCAATAAACTATTAAATTTGTCAAAAGAAAATCAGTGAAGAGGTTTGGCCTAGGAATGGGCACTCTATTATCAATGAAGAGAAATTCAAACTACGGATAAGTGATAAATAGTAAAAAAGGTTACCTGATTTGGCCCGTGACACAAGATGCCCTCGGGACGTCACTGGTTCTAATAATTTTATCTACTTAGGACTAAATCAGCCTCTTCATACAATAAATACTATCGCCAAATTTCAACAGAATCGAATTAATATTTTTTACGATATCAATTAAAAAAAATAACAAGGAATCACACTCTCCGTCTATTTTTCGAATACCCTGCATAGTATTTAGTGTAACTAAATTACATCTTCACGAAACTATTTCAACTCTGCCAGATGTTACTAAAATTCATACAATTCGAAGATGGAATGGAAAGTCCTTGGCCTGACATGACATAGAAATTCCAATGAGTTCAAGACATCTTGTTGGAGGGGAAGGGGTCTACAGGGTGGATACCGCATTTGTTGAATGCTGATCAAAAGCGGATGTGCAAGCGCCTTTCCCAGCAATGTTTGGACCAGTTCAATATGAATCTGACCGATTTTATATGGCGATTAGTTACCACTAAACGGCAGAAACAACAATTATGGGGAACTGCTATTCCAACACTCTTGATCAACTGTCAACCAGTCTTCCACTTCGGAGAAGGAATCCTTATGTCGGAAACGTTGGATCAAGTGTGTTCGAGTCGAAGGGAATTCTGTAAAAAAATCTAATCATTTTTCAACTGAAAATCATCGCAGTCTGTCATTGTCAGGCCGAGAAATGTTCAACCTACTTTTGTGATGCAACTGCAATATTATCTTTGATACAACTACAAGAAGTTTTGTATTTCAAGAAACGAATAAATGTACGTAATTCACCATCGAATAGACATTTATTAAGTTTTTCTTGTTGGCTTCTGAATCTTAATCCGTCAAGTTATCTAATTTCCTGTGATTCAATGAAATCTGTGATCAGTGATATGTATGACTGTATTATTACTTTTCATGTGAAAGCTCACTTAATTCGGTGATTATTTTCAGCTTATGAGTGATCATGATTTTGTAAAATCTGTGCTAAAGTTCGCTGAGCAGTTGGTGAAACACTCGCAAAACCCATACCTCTACCAGTTCTCTTACAAAGGTGTCTTGGGTTTTCACAGAAATCAGTCAGGTAATCTTATCAAAGCCAAGTATATAAACTATAGCTAAGTTTACAATTTCACTATGTGCTGGTACTCCATAGATCATAGGAAAATAAAATTCAACAACTCAAAACTAGGATGCAAAGCATCAAAACAAAGTATGCCTCAATCTTATTTTTGTTTAATAGTGATTGAGTTTTTTCTCATAATGAGCCGTATTCATAAAAGAGAAGCATATCCTCGGAAGCATAAGGTATAAGCATATCCTTGTTTTCATATTCATAATGATTACCTTATACTTGCGAGGTTATCCTCCAAGAAGAAGTAAAAGGTTGACTGGTATTTGTATCTTGAGCGACATGTCCTGACTTGTTTCAGCTTGTGGTTGGCGTGGGAGTTCGCTCATTCAGCATCACTGACAGTTGTACCCCAGAGCTTACACAGACCGTTCCGTATTTTCACTGGATACAGTTTTTTATCAAATTAATAAGCATGTCATCCTCAAGTTATGAGGCAACTATAGAAAATAATGGCAACGACCTGCAGTTCATCGCAGATGAAATTGCCATTGCTCCCATTATTTTCCAAAAGTCACAAGTGCCAAAAATAAAAATGAGAAAGGACGATGCCTAGAAGAAGATGTTGAAAAAAGGAATCAACATTCGGTAAACCATTAGATACTAAAGGCTTATTAAAAAAAATCAACAACATGAAATCAAGATTGAAAAAAAACAGATCTAAAAAAAAACTGGTAATAAAGCAATTAAATTGTTAGATTGGGAAAAAAAGTTGCTGATAGCTATGGAAGGTGACTGTAATCCTACAATTGGGAAAATTAGAGGTGCCATTCAGGTTGGTAGTGTTCAAGAAGAAGGAAGTGAACTATATACCGAGCGCAGTGAGCAAACAGTTGGTATTACAGCGCAAGCAATGCAGAAGAGATTGCCACCAAAAAAAAATTAGTACCAGAGAAACGAAACTGAGGAAACCAAAGGGTTAACTACAAAAGAACTGCAACGTCTAGTGCTGTTACAGCAATACCAAATAAGCATTTTACAACAAGAGTATTATAAAACGAAATAAGAAATGATGCAGCGTCAGAGCCACCTGTATCTTATGACGTTCACGAAAATAAAACTTATTATAACTTATAAATACAGTTTAATCAGTAAAACTATTTATTATTTGTTGACCTAGTTGGCGGAGAGGAAGTTCGTCATTCTCATGATTTCCTTCATCTTCGTCTGGGTCTTGTTTAACTAAATCAAAGTCAGGATCGCCCAAGCTCGTCGCAACATTATGGAGTACAATACAAACAATAATTATTGTCGGAACATTTTCCAATTTTACGCGGCGAATATACTGTAGGATAGGAAACCGGCGTTTCAGTTGGCCGAGACAGCATTCAATTATAACTCTTTCTTGTTTTAAATTGAACAACAAAACACCACCATAGCTGCACTGAGTGGTCAGTTATTATTTTTGAAGCAGTTCCTCACACCTAACAAGTCTTATGCTGCAGCAACTGAACCATCAGGTAGAACAGAATCAGTCCAGTCAAACGCGGCTACCGCGGCTATACTGGCATCGTCGTCAACATTGAATACTGTAACAACAGCGATACCACCAGTTTCAATTTCAGAGACGATGCACAGGGGCGATCTTACTTTCGACAAACAGCTTATAAGCAAAACGCTAGTCGCAGAAGCTATACATAACGCTAAGGCTAACAGTGTTTGCAAGACTTTAATAAATTTGAAAATGATTTTGATAAAGAAACTAATGTAGATGATGGCAAACGTAAGCCCAAAAATTTACTAATAGGTAGTATGTCTGGTTTACAAAGTGTCCCTTAAAGGCTGCTACAGCGAAATCTATCAGACACATCATGTACGCGCCTTGATCCACAAAGACGAAAAGGTTCTCTCGGATTATTTGAAAGCAGTTGCTCCAAATGTAAAGGTCGAGAGGTTGACAGCCAGATATCCCGAGAGGTACTCATCTTTCAAGGTATCTGTTCCAGTCGACGAAGCTTCCACCATTATGGATAGTAACATCTGGCCTACAGGTGTTCTGTTGAACCGATTTTTTCGAGCCAGAAATACCAAAGGAGATTTCAAGAGATCAGAGCGTGGTGCAGATGGCCGGCGTTCAAGAGAACTGTGAGATGTCCTCTCATTCTGCAGATAAGGACTGTTCTACTACATATGGTCTCTCAATAATGCATTTGAACATCCAAGGCTTATCTAGCAAAGTAGATGAGCTGTGTTTGTGGTTGAGTGAATGTTCCTTTGATATAATTTGCTTATCGGAACATTGGCTGAACAATGATAAATTGTATTCGATTAATTTTAATAGTTACTTTTGTTATTTCTTCCTACTGTAGGCCTGCCAATGCGCATGGTGGCGTTGCAATTTGGTTAACAGTCATTCAGATTTCAAAGATATTGATCTCAGCAGCTTTTGTATACCATTTCATGCAGAGTTTTGTGGAATTGCAGCCCCATCTAAAAATATGGCTGTGATCACCACATACAGGTCATCCTCTTGTGGTGATATAGCCATATTCAAAGACAAACTAGTTTTTATGATTGATTATTTGTATCCTAGATATAAAAATCTAATCATACTCGGTGATTTTAACATAGACCTTACCAGCTGCTCGCATCTTGCTGCTGACGTTATTAAAGCCTTTTCATCATATGGCTCTCACATTGTATTAGCGAACCTACGCGTATTACTTCTTCCACCAGCTCCTGTCTGGATAACATACTGACGAATATTGATATTGAGAGCCGTATTACCGGTGTTCTTGATCTAAACCTTTCTGACCATTGTGGAATTTACATGTTCATTCGATCAATCAAGCAAGCCCGTTGTAGTAGCTCTTTAAGATAAGAAACGTTACTAGCAAGGGGCTACGTTATTCGCCAGCAAGCTTCACGATTTTGACTGGTCTTTTCCTGAGAGTAATACGCGTACTGCTGCTAATCTAGCAAATTCAATACTCAATGCTCTAAATTTAGGAATTGATGCTTGTTTTCCTTTGCGGAAAATTGATAATACGAATAATGGTTTGAGATGGTTCACAAAGAGGCTCAAATATATGCGCAAGCAATTATTTAGATACAAGGAAATTTTTAGATCAATAAGGTTAGAGCAAGATTGGCTAGCCTTTAGGAACTGCCGCTATGAATATAAACGAGCAATTAAACTGGAAAAAAGGAGCTTCTATTCCAAAAGAATACTGACAACTAATAATAAAAACAAGACAGTTTGGCAAATAGTTAATTCAGAACGTAATCGATTAAAGTCCAATCATATAGAATCCACTGTATCTTCAGATAGCTTCAATAGATATTTTTCCACAGTTTCAAAGAATATAGTATGCTCAATTGACAATGAAAGTGTTGCCCCACTTACATTGCTGAACAAGGTCCGAAAACCATCTATGTCTTTCTTTATTGCTCCAATTGTAGAGTCTGATGTTGCCGAAGCTATTCTCAAGCTTAGCAACTCTCCTTGCTTGGACTACTACAGTTTGAATAGCTCAATGCTTAAAAGAGCTATTGAGTCTCTTGTTGAACCACTTTCAATTCTTTACAATAAGTGCATTTCTGAAGGGGTTTGGCCTGACTCGCTCAAGATTTCAAAGATTCTTCTCTTCATAAATCGGGTGATGCGAATGACCCATGTAATTATCGGCCAATAGCCATTGTGCCCATCATAGGGAAAGTTTTTGAAATCCTGCTAAAGGACAAGCTATTATCATATTTCGAAAGAAATTCATTACTATCCACATGCCAATATGGATTTCGGAAGGGAAGCTCCACAATCAAAGAGCTGCTTGATTTAGTGGAATATGTTGTTGATGGTCTGGATAATGGTCTTAAAACCTTTACTACTGTGTGCGATCTTACTAAAGCCTTTGATTGTGTCAATACTAGTATATTGCTTCTAAAACTGGAGTACTACGGTGTACGAGGTAATGAATTAAATCTGTTCCGATCATACTTGACTAACCGGAAACAATATGTTAGTTGCAATGGTTACGACTCTACTCTGCTCCCTATTGATAACGGAGTTCCTCAGGGCTCGGTGTTAGGTCCCCTTTATTCTTGGCCTACATAAATGATCTGCCGGCGTCAATAGATCACAGTTTGTGTTTTATGTTCGCAGACGACACGACGTTATCAACAAGGGATCAGCAGGAGTTAAGCGTTGATGGCTTGGAACAGGCAAAGAAGTGGTTCTCGGTGAACAAACTGAAGCTAAATGACGCCAAAACATCTTCTATCGTTTTCAGCTCTGACAAGTGTCAACCTGCGTCTGATCCTGTCAAACTCCTAGGAGTTAAACTGGATACGGCACTTACTTGGTCACCGCACATTGATCTCGTCTGTTATCCACGCAAATCTTTGCAATTCGACGGATGAGTGAATATTTGGATAAACGTATTCTAAAAACAGTTTACTTCAGCCTAATCCACAGTCAGTTGTCGTACGGTGCCCTCCTTTGGGGGAACGCTTCTGGATCTTTCAAAGCGTTCACACTCCAAAAGGCAGCTGTTCGCATAATTGATGGTTCGAAATACGGCACACCACTGCCAACCACTTTTTAGAAAACATCGAATTTTACCACTACCAAGCATTTTTATATATGAAACGCTTTTACATATTCATAAAAACCTCCATAAATATGTAACGCATTCCGATGTTCATGATCATGATACCAGGTCAGCAAATAACATCAGAGTTCCCTTTTCTAGATTACGTTTATCCAAGTTGAACAAGCCGGATGTCACATTATACAATTTATTTGTGAACTGTTACGCAGAACATGATGTGAAAAATATGAATGTCTACAAATTCAATAGACTATTGAAGAACTTTCTCATAGACAAGTGTTTTTACAGTGTCGATGATTATATTAATTATGTAACTATATTTAAAATACAAAAATCTGTGACTTCAAATGTACAGTAATGTATGTAATGTAGTCAATAAACTAAACTAAACTAAAACTAAACTATATTATAATTATTATAATGATTATATTTTATATTATTATAATTATATATGATACTATTATAATTGTTATTATTATTATTATAATTATTTTTTATTATTATAATTATTATTTATCATATAATTATTCTTCTTATTATTATTATTATATTTTATATTAATAATATATTATATTATCATTATATATTATTATTATTATAATATTATTATTGAAGAATAAATATAATAATATAATGATAATAATAATAATAATAATAATATAATAATAATTATAAATTAATAATAATATTATAATAATAATAATAATTATTATATGATATAAATATAATATAATTATAATTATCATTATATTATTACAATAATAATTACTATTATTATTATATAAAACAAAATCTGTGACTTAAATGTACAATAATGTATAATGTAGTCAAAACTAAAATAACTAAACTAAACTAAACTAATTATTATGATTATTCTTATTATATTATATAATTATTGTTATTATCATTATAATTTTATTATAATTATTCTTATTATTTTATTAAATATATATTAAAGTAATTATAATAATAATAAGAATAATAATTAAATAATTATAATAATACTAATAATAATATAATTATATTATAATAATAATAATTAATATATAATAATAATAA